AGAGAGAGAGAGAGAGAGACAGAGAGAGAGAGAGAGAGACAGAGAGAGAGAGAGAGAGACAGAGAGAGAGAGAGAGAGACAGAGAGAGAGAGAGACAGAGAGACAGAGACAGAGAGAGAGACAGAGAGAGACAGAGAGAGACAGAGACAGACAGAGAGAGAGAGAGAGAGAGAGAGAGAGAGAGAGAGAGGAATCACAGCAGTCTTCTTTCCCCCCTCCACATAACAGTCTCACACCTGAGTGCCGATGCCCAGTATTTGGGCGAGTACTCCCTGATTGGTCAGGAAGCAGGCCCATCAGGAAGCCAGGCGCCGTGTAATGACGCGGCGCCCAGCTTTCTGATTGGTTGGAAGCCGGCTTCGTGCTCCCTCGTCACCTCAGGAAGCCGGGCGCCGGCTCTATGCTTTCTCGTCACCTAATGACGAGAAGCATGGGGACGGCTTCCCTGCTAATCAGGAAGCCAGGCGGTGAGTCATTACACGCCGCCAGGCTTCCTGAATGGGGCTTCCGGTACTGGGTATTCGGTATCGGCGATTACCGGAAAAAAAACGATGATCATACCCAACTGCCCTCCAAAAACTTTATGGGCGAGAGCTACAAATAACATTAACAACTTAATATAAAGAGTCCCTCCACCTGTGCAGCAAGACATTATGTGATATTATTGTGTAACATTCCCAACTTTTGTTACTCAAATTTAAACTTCCAATATTTCAGGAAGGAAAGGGGTGGGAGTAGAGGTGCACCGAAATGGACATTTTAAAACCAAAACAAAAAACTGAAATGAAAAAAAATTGTCAGGCTGAAACCGATACTGAAAATGTTTTTTAATAAACGTTTTCATCTTTTTATATTTATTTTTATTAATTAATTCATTTTTTATTAAATATTTTTAACTTTACTTTTAGGGGCTTCAGGGAAATATTGAGGATCTAAACAGACCCCTGTTTACTATAACCACAATCATGAATGAACAGGAGGTGATGCAGATCACTCCCATTCATTCATAATTGAGGATATAGTACACATACCATGTCCTCAATTTTTTCAAAGAGAATGTATGATGGTTTTATACATACAGGGATTCCCCGGGTTACGAACAAGATAGGTTCTGTAGGTTTGTTCTTAAGTGGAATGTGTATGTAAGTTGGAACAGTTACATTTTTTTAGTTTTGGATAGCATAGGGAAGGGTTAACCACTGGTAATGTTTGTTTTGCGGTGTGTGCCCCTGTTCAGAAGATTTCACCTCACTTTCTGTCCCTGTGACAATTGGATTTTGAAAACTGGAAACAAAGATTGGTGATAGAGCTTCAGTGGTTTTCCCATGATAACTCTTACAGGAGTGAATTTGCCATCCTAGGGGTAGATTTCCTCTCACTTACTGTTGTCTCAAGGACAGGAAGTGAGATTAAATCTTTCTAATGAGGATACAGACAGCAGTAAAAACCTCACAGTGACTGTGAAGAAGAGGTGGACACCCCTCGTCTGCACGTCTAACAAGAGCCAACGTCCTGTAATGTACGTACAGTACTACAAACCAGACCCAAAAAGGTGGGCACTCCTCGTCGGCACGGGCGCAGTAGCATTACGACTGAAATGCTGCGCGGTACACTTTGGCTGCAGCCTGGGACCCCCTGCTGTACAGTAATAGCCTCCGTTTGTAAGTCAGATGTTTGTAAATCGGGGACTGCCTGTATTTTCTTTCTTTTTTTTTCCTTTATTATAGCCGGGACTAAAATAATAAAACATGAAAAAAAAATACCAATACCAAGCCAATGACATATTACATGTTATGTTACATGTATGTTTCATCCAGTCAGCTGGTCTAGCTCTAGCCCCCTTGTCACATTGTTAGCTGTGCATATGATATCAGATTGATTAGATCAGTGAATAAACCTTATTAAACAGTTCAGTCTGCCGATTTAAGCAGACAAAGAAAACCTCAAAGCAATCTGCTCTGTGGTCTTTTTAACTAACCCATAGTGCTCCTAGAATCTTTTGTTGTTTATAAAAAAAAAAAAAAATTTAAAACTTTGTAGACTTAAAAACCTAAAACAAATATAACTTTCGTTTAACAACTTACCGTGTTGTAGAATAGAGCGTTAAGATGTTAAATTTATGTTGACTGTTCAGTTGAAAAGTTACACCAGAGCCAATGCCTGTATGAGAAAATAATAATAATAATTATTATTATACAGGATTTATATAGCGCCAACAGTTTGTGCAGCGCTTTACAATGTAAATGTACAATGTACAATACAATTTAAGACAAGATGGTAAGGAGGGCCCTGCCCCCGAGGGCTTACAGTCTAATGGGGAGGGGCAAGTGATACATGTGGAGGTAGCTGTGTGGGGATGAATTGTTTGACAACGTGATGGTTGAGTGTTTCGGTTGAGGTGGGATAGGCTTCCCTGGAGAGATGAGACTTAAGGATTCGCCGAAAGGCGAGTGGGAGATAGCTGGACAGGTTGGGGTAAAGAGTTTCAGAGAATGGGAGAGACTCTAGAGAAGTACTGGAGACGAGAATGGGAGGAGTTCTTTGGAAGAGCGGAGCGCACGGTTAGGGTGATACTTTGTGACAAGGTTGGAGATATATCCAGGGGCAGAGTTGAGGATGGCTTTGTAAGCTGTTAATATTTTGAATTTTATCCTTTGGGCTATTGGAATCCAGTGGAGGGATTGGCAGAGGGGGTGGGGGATGAAAGCCAGAGGAGGGATTGGCAGAGGGGGGCAAGGAATGGAAGCCAGTGGAGGGATTGGCAGAGGGGACAAGAGATGGAAGCCAGTGGAGGGATTTGTGGAGTGGGGCGGGGATGGAAGATAGTGGAGGGATTGGCAGAGGGTGCGGGGGA